TGTAGATGTTGAACATGGGTGGAGCAAGCACGCTCCCCTGAGGCAGGCCGTTCTTCTGTTTCCGCCATCAGGGAAGATTGGTCTGTAGCTTTTTGGGTCATGACGGTCTTTGCCTGGCTTCAAGATGGCGATGACTCTTGCTTTCCTCCAGATTTTGGGGATCTGACAGGATGCAGTGCAGTTGTTCATCAGCTCCAGTAGCCAGCACTTTGCTTTTGGGCCAAAGTTCTTGATTTGTTCCATTCTTCTGTTTCCGCCATCTGCTTCTCTGGCCCTGGAACTCAACAAAGAAGCTCCTGTTTTGTAGCAGGTTTCCTATGAGGCGGGTGAGGTGGTCGTCCTTGGTGATACTATACATTTTTCTCAGGAGGAGGCAGAGGTGGTTCACAGTCTCATAGGCTGCTGACAGGTCTATGGAGACAGCTCCTGTGATCTGCTGCCTTTCAAAGCCATCTTCTCTGTGCCGAGTCAGGTTCAGCACTTGCGAGGTGCAGCTTTTGCCTTTTCTCAGGAAGCTGCCTCACTTTGCTATAGAAGAGGGAAAAGTGCAATATGGAAGCAAAGTATTGCCTGCAATTCTCCTTCCAGACATTAGGGGGAGGTGGTGGTCCATTTTTACTCTCTTTTCTTTTTCCATTGAAAAGCATTGGAGGGCGTTGTTGCTGGTGTTGTTGTTGTTGTGTTGATTTATATCCCACTTTTTCCTCCCTGTATGGAGACTCGGAGCAGCTCACAATTAAAAGCATTACAATGCAACTTAAAATATACAAATATTAAAACTATATATATATATAGATAGATAGATATATGTAGTATTATATTTAATATATTAGTATCAGTATTATCAAATTACAATATTATTTTCTATATTATTATATTGTACTATAGTTAGTATTATATTGTATTAAATTTAGTATTATATTCTATTACATTGCAGTATTATATATTGTTGTGTATTATTATAGTACAATATTAATAGTAGTATTATATTTAATATATTAGTATTATCATATTACAATATTATTTTATAGACTATTATATTGTATCATAGTTAGTATTATATTGTATTAAAGTTAGTATTATATTGTATTACATGCAATATTATATCTTTTGTATTATTATATTACAATATTAGTAGTAGTATTATATTTAATATATCAGTATTATCATATTACAATATTATTTTATATATTATTATATTGTGTTATAGTTAGTATTACATTGTATTACATTGCAATATTATATATTGTTGTGTATTATTATATTACAACATTAGTAATAGTATTTTATTTAATATATTAGTATTGGCAAAGTACAATATTTTATATATTATTCTATTGTATGATCTTGCATTACGTTGCAATATTATTGTATATGATTATGTTGTATATTATTATATTAAAATATTAGTAATAGTATTATATTTAAA